AATTGGTTTTTGTTGTCGACATTCATAAAATATATGACTAGGTTTTCCACACTTGAAATAGACAGGTCCTTTAAGATGACAATTTTTAGTAAAATGATATTGTTCACACTTAAAACACTTGAGCTGATTATTTATATGGTTTTTAAAATTTCCTGCAGAAAATTGACTGGGTTGGGATCTCCATTGGGGGTAGTTGTAGGGTTTTCCTTCATTTTGTCTCCTTTTATTTTGTTGGGGTCCAAAATATTTTTGTTTACTATTTTTATGGTTTTCAAAATCTTCCAAAAATCTGCACTTATGAATAAGCGTAGGAAAATCAGAATTTTCTAATATTCCTATTGTTTTTCTCAATTCAGGCCTAAGTTCATTCTTAAATTTTATACACTTCTTTCTTTTATCAGGATAATAAAAGAATGTATAGTATTTTCCTAGCTTTTCAAACTTAGCGGCATATTCTCATACTGTCATATCTCCTTGCTTTAATTGCATAAATTTTATTTCATTTGCTCTCCTCACATCATTGGAAAAATATTTTTCTAAAAATTTTGTTCTAAACATCTCCCTAGTAATGATTATTCATCTTTCTTCTAGTAATCTCCTGATACTATTCCACCAATATTCAGTCTTTCCTATCATCATAAACACAGCGTAATTCACCTTTTGATTATCAAGACAATTCATAACTCGAAATATTTTTTTTCAATTCTTTAATTCATAATTTAGCCTTTTCTGGATTATAATCTCTAGGGAATTGCGGAGGTTTGTTTCTCCTAAATTCAACTAAAACCTTGTGATTCATTGGTTCATTCAGGTCTTTGGTTCCTTAATAATGTAGTGACCATGTCTCGGATAACTTGTACCACTTCGTCAACTCGTTATTCCTCTTATTATTTGTCATCCGGAATTATATAAGTTAGGATTCATAAGATCTCATGATAAGCTCATTTCACAGGTCAAACATTAAATGTTGCTCCGATACCATGACATTTTTTTTATTTGACAAGAGTACCAGGTAAAGATATTTTATATATGTAAAAGTAATTTACATTATTATTTGTTTTACGGGATATATAAATGAAGAAAGAATTTTATTTATTTTTTATTCCTTTTATTTTTACTACAATTATACAAATATTTACATTGTTAGTAGAAACAAACTGATTAAGGGGTTTTAGTAAATGGTAGGAGGCATGTAGAATAGGTGACCACTATTGGTCCATCTAGCATGATGAAAGTTCACATATCGGATGCAAATGTTAATACTCGATAACCATGTCCCTTTAAAAATAACCGAGTTGTCAATAACGTTTGTGTTCCAAGTAGTTCATGGAAAGAATGCAGTGATACTTATAGAAAAGGGATTTGAAATATTCGACGTCTCTATCTACTTAAGTTGATATTTAATATAACATGCACAAACGATCACAATAGGGAGTGAGAACAATTATGATTTAAAATAATATATATATATATATATATATATATATATATATATATATATGTGTGTGTGTGTGTGTGTATAATATTTTTCAACTTCTTCAACGCATTCTATGTTATCAAGATTTAAATTAAATTCGTAGTGACTAGTTAGGATAAATGAGTCAAATTTTAATCATGTTCTTAGTGATAACTACTCATTTCAATCCCTAAGGTTCAACCTCCATTTATAATATCATCAATTCTTCATAAATAAATATTATTATTATTAATAAATAATATAAATATAAATTAATAACTAAGATCAGTGCATAACTGAAGATAAAATAATATAAACGAACATGACTAGTACGCTGAAGATAATTAAAATAGGACTAATGCAAGACTGAAGATAAAATAAAATAAACAAATAAAACCAGTACGTACGTAACGGAAGATAATTAAAACAGGACATGCGCAAGATTGGAGAAGGATAAATAAACCTAAAACATATGTGTATGTAGTTGGAGATAAATAAATAAGTAACAAAATAAATAGAATGAGGTTAGAGACACTCCACTCCATAATAATAATTAAAATATAAAGTGATATTAGTCTTTTCCCCTACCTTAACAATTATAGATGGTGTATCAAATTTTTACGGAAATGACTTATCTTTCTCTCTTTCTCTTTTTTTTTCCTTCTCTCCCTTTCTTACTTTTCTTTTTTTTTACCACTCCTACCCCTTTATATACAATAACAATTTTTATTTTATTATATATATATATATATATATATATATATTTCATTTAATACTTCTTATCCCTTCATTAATTTATTATTAATTTAATCTTTGGTCAATAAAATCTTATCTCTTCTTATACGAAGAGACAAGCTAATGTTTTGCTTTTTTTTCCTTTCTTTTACCTATTAATAATAGTATATAATATAATATTATATCTATATATTTTAATTATAATAGTATATAATAATAATAATTTTATAATGTATTATAATAATAATAATTATATATATTTTAATTAATAATAATTATTTTATATAAATATATATTATTATTATTATTTAATAGTTTAATAATATATATATATATAATTTTATTTTTTCATTTATTTATTTATTTACATCAATAAGTCTTTTTTAAAATTATTTAAAATATTATTTAATACATTATATTTAAAGAAAATTTACAATAATTTGCGGATGTTACAGATCCAATAAAAGTAGTATAAAATTTAAAAAGAAAAATAAAAAATTATATAATTAAATTTTAAATCTATTATTAACTGATTTATGTCACATGAACCCAAGATTTGATGATTTACAGGGATCCTTGTGTTTCAGATTGTATCTTCTCAACGGGTATATATGATTTATATTTTGCCATGAACATGGAGGCTTTAAGTTTATAAATGGATTGTTTAACAAAAATACTCATGAAAGGACCTTATGTCATGTGATGATGAATAAATACGAATAAACATTTTCACATGCTCACTCGCTATGTTCTATAAGTGAATATCCAAACATATCTTATTTTTTAGGTTTAAATAATGTTTTTCCTAATAAATTTATTTCATAATTCTTTTTAGCTTTTAATATTTTAGCATACATAAATATCAAACAATAAAATTATCATGAATAAATAAATTAAAAAAAAGTACAAGGAATTAATACAAAATTAATGAATTTATTACATAGAAAAACAAATAAAGCAAGAATAATTTAAGCATTTCTTCAATCAAATTCGTTTATGAAAAAATAAATATTGCCCCATATAATACTTGAAAAACGAATAGACAAATTAAAATCGATAAAAAGATAATAATTTTTATTGTGATTACGTATTTTATCAAATTTATAATAGTTTATATTTTAAAAACATTATAAACTATTTTTGTCCCATAAAAAATTATTTCTACACCTATCAATTATTAAGAATATATTTCTAAGACTTAAGAGGTTTTTCCGAAGAGTTTTATAAGTTTATAGATAAGACTATTTACAATATGTGTGGGTTAGTCTCCGTTTGATAGAGAGAGAGAGAAAAAAATGAAAAAAATAAAATAAAAATGCAGTTTTTATTTGAGGTGAAAAACAAAGGATGAGGTGGAGGCAACCGCAAAACAGCCCGGTGGCCAACACGACGCAACACATGCGTAAACCCACGGTCGATGACGTCAGCCACACGTGAACATTATTACCTTCACTTTACCTTTACTTTACCATGCCATCGTGGACCCCATCTTCTCACGTGCGCCCTCTAAATATACATAAATATATTATTAATTTTAATAATATATAATTTTCTAGGAATGTGTCCTTCTCTGCTTTACGCCTCTTTCTTCCTTTCTTGTTACCGTAATCTTGTTCTTTGCTAACAATATTTTATGGGAGTCACGCTCCCAATCTAACACAATATTGACTTTCTCTTCCACGACTATGTTTTTGCAATCCCAATAACCCATTATTTATTATATATTAATAACATCAATTAATTGTACTATTAATTATCACCCACACTTTCCGCCATCAGCATGGGACCTATGTTTCGTTGAATTTTCCATTTTCATTTTGGCTTTCATCGTCGTCATTTCTTCCTGCCCTTGTCCTCCATGTGGCACTTTTTTACTTGCTTCAAATCATGCCTCCTAATCTTTCTACACCTGTTTTCTTAAGTGCTGATTAAGTCAACTCCACCTATGTTTCCATCCCGTGATTAGACTTCCAACCAACTTCATTAATCTTGTTTTTCTTTTTTGTATTTTCTCTGCTTCATGTTCCACCCCTCAATGTTCCGGGTCAAGCAAGAAAAGTTTAATTGGAAGATCGTCTGTGCTTCCACAAACATGATGTGTCTCTGCATTGGAAACTTGTTCTCATTTTTCTACCTCATTCTCATTGCTAATGTCATGCAAAGAATGACGCAACCGTGCCACAATTTCCTATCACCAAACTAGAACTCGGAAAACGGCATTGGAAGGCGTATTTCACACGAGGGATTGTACAAACGCAGTTGGCAAAATAAAGGGTGATGATGGTACATGCATTTTTCAGCCTTGGAATTGCATTTAATGCAAGATTAAATTGAAATGGTAAATAGTTTATAAGGCCGCGGCAAGAAGAAAATGGTACAATCTCTGAAAAGGTCATGCAGAAACCAAGAATGTTTCAACAAATATTCAGCTTGAATACTGTTTTTTTACTGCATACAAAACCAAATCAATCACATTTATATGATCTCTAACTTCTCTCCCCTTGTCCTCCACCTTTTTCCCCTCCCAACCAAAATTTGAAGAGAGAAGTCAAGTAGGCAAATATAAAGTGAAAAACAAAAGGAGGGAAACATGAAGATGACTCCAATCAAAATTCCAAAATCCAAAACCAAGCATCTCCTTTGAGATGAAATAGAAACATTTATGTGGGGGTGGAGAGTTTGATATTCAAAAATTAGCTCAGACTGCCTCCTTCCATTGCACCAGAAGGAAAGGGATAAAGGGTCAGAAAATGGGTAGAGGCCTTGATGAACCGTCTGTACAATTGAAAGAATGATTTATTTTGCCCCACTACACTCCTACATTGTTGCTGCCAGAATCCATTAGAATAGTCAACCTCCTGGCTGATTTTATGAAGTCACTGCAACAGCATCAAAGAGGTAAGTGAATGTGATTATTCCAATTCAATATGGAAGTGAATGTGATTATTCCTACCTGAATGCTTCATCACCAATGTGTTTGACAGCTCCATTTTTATCGCGATAGAGCACCTGACTTAACATCTCAGATTTTTCTATGCCAAACATGTCTGTCAGCCTTCTGTAGAGTTCATCATAAGACCCAAGCAATGAGAGGTCCATAGTCCTGCCTACGTCTTCTGACTCCATAAAAACTTTACAATGACCAGTCTCCAGACTGGCCTCAGTTTCTTGGGGGTTATCCCTATACCACTGGAACCGCTCGCAAGAGGAACGTTCATGTGGGCCTTGCTGCTGATGAAGAGCTGATCCAGAACCATCAGAAAAATTAGTCACTTTATCGGCATGTCCATCGGACGAACCATTTCTGGTAAGAACTGGGGAGAATGTATCACCAGAGCTGCTCAGAGAGATCTGCTCCTCCGTGAGAATTTTTTGGCCAAAAAGCACGAGATGTGGTGTCTTCCCATCATCCATTTTCTTCGAAGATTGAGCAGAATTTGCTATAGATAGTAAGCAAGAGACATTCTCACTATTGCTGGGCTTTTGCAACGGTAGGTTATTCGATATTCTCATCGGCTTAGCAGCGTGATCATGAGGCGGCAAGGCAGCCTGAAATAGACCTGAATGCAGTTTGCTGAAGTGGAGATCCGATAAGGATAGACCATAGTGAGCATGCCTGGCTCCCTGCATGCCAGCAGGAGTACTTTCGGGTAGACAACCAAACTGGTTGGTGTTGCTGGGACCTAGAAGGTTGCCGGAAAATGTTGGCAAAGGAATCTGGCCATCAAGGGGAAATTCTGGGTGTTGAGGCAATCTCATTTTCTTCCGTGGTGGTGAGAAAGGAGCTAGATGAATGGCAGGCATGGTTGACACCATTTCAACCAGCCAAGGGCTCACCCTTCTCACGTTTTGAAGTAAATCTGGTTCATCCCATGTCACCTATAAATATAACTTGAGATAATTAGTCAGAGTTGACAGAGAATGGAGAAATTCAAGTAAACCAGGTTTAGCTTGTCTTAAACAGGCCTTCTTATGTGAATGTACGAACAACAACATGATCTAATTCTCCAAATGTAAATTTATTTAGCAATAGGCAACTGTAAAGTTTAATTGTTTCTAAATTCTGCTTTTCTGAATGCATTGGTGCCAACATAATTGGACATGGAATGTTATCCATAGTCCAATTCGAGAAGGGTGCAAAATGATTGACACCAAAACACTTAGAATTGTACCAAATCCCCTTTAATAGCGGAGCATGAGAGATTTCAGGCTAAAATGAACAAATAGTAAGCACGAATACAATTCATCATGTTGAAGTAATAAGTAATGTTCTATGCTATTTTAAAGGCATCCCTATACAAAAAAAGACGTTACCTGGAGAAGCCTCCAAGGTGAGTTAGGCCAGTTAAGGGGATCGGCAACCTGAACCGAAGATATGGTTCCCATGAACCAACTTATCCGTGAGGAGTCTTCAGTTTCAAAGGCCATCTTGAACCGTATTCCAGAAGACCACCTAGTCTGCAGTGCTGCTTCAACTAGTGGGGCCTTCACACAAAATTCCGGAGTACTTGCTCGAGGGTAGTAAACAACCTCAAACGGATGCTTATTGGCCGCTAGATTTGCAGCTTCAACAACAGCTTCTGGTCTCACTTTGCCCCTGCCCATCATGCTCACACTTGGGTTCAACCCATTGCTATTACCATTTCTAAGGATTCTGTTGTCATCCTCCCTCAGAAAAGGTGAAAATCCTCCATAGGGCATATGACAATTTCCTCCAGCAGGGTTCCACCCCGAGGAAGCCTCAGGTCCGCCACCAATCCCCTTCTTCGCCCGCCGAATCCCAACACACAGATCCCCGTTTTCTGCCCTCAAAAACACAATTGAGTCTCCTGCAACAAGCTTCTTCTGGTTCACAAAGGTACTCCATCCAGTGGTCAACAGATGCCGCCTCGGCGTGCCCCTGTAGATGTGTCTGAATTTCCATGTTTCCCCATGAACATCCTTTGCAAGGATGTTCTGAACAGGAGGATCAGCCGAGTAATCCAATCTAGGGAAAATTGTCTCAGCACAGTACCTTGGAACAGAAAACCCTCCACCATTGTTGGCATCAGATTGGGTCAAGGTTTTTGCAAATGAGGCAGGCTTGTCCTGAGTTTCAGGTCCAGCAACATCACGGCTATAATCAGCATCATTGAGGCCCAAAGGAACAAGCCTGAGTTTGGCATAGACCTCATCAGTCTCAGGATCAGCCATGTATTTGATGGTAGCCACTCTGCATGGAACCAAAGACGGAACCTTAGGACAGGTCCTAAAGATAACCGGTCCACATGCATGTTCAGCATGGCCCTGAGGGAAGTAATAGACCCTGGTGTTCACTGCTGGCATCTGTACCATACCACCTGCACACGCATGCCATAGCTGAGGATCCAAACACCTCTCCACCTCCTTCGGTTTCTCCTTTGACTCCATGAATGTAATCATCTCTCTCAACAACTCTCACTGCAAGTGTAAATTTTCCCAAATTTAGCATACTTTTATTATGACCAAAAATCGTGAGGATGCAGATAACAAAATTTTTAAAAATTCATTTCTGAATTAAAATATCACCACAGTCTCATTTTTATGCGCCTCTTTCTTACCTTAAGAAGCATATATATGATCACGCGTGTCCACAACAATTCAGAAAAACCTCACAAAGTGGTAGTTACAAATTTTATTTCCACTGAGAAAGAGAATCCAAGTCGCCCACAGTTTCTGATTCCGAGTCCCAATTTCGCTGACTGACCAATTCAAATCTCTTGAGATTGTTGTCAATAAATTGCTTTGTCTCCACAGTTTTGACACACACACACAAAAACTAATGACATGTACAATTGAAGGGGTCAAAGGATGGCTTTCATGGAAGCAAGAGTGCTGTGTGTCACAAAATTAGAAATTTGAAGGCCACCACTTTGTTAAGAAAAGGTAGTTTCCCTCAAGTTGTAACAGAGAGTTTGAAGAGAAAGATGGATAGTTGGTGATAAGGTTGGACGTGGATCATTGCAGAAACATGAACATGTTGCAGAACACAGTTCAAGATCTAGGACACAACAGAACAGAACAGAACAGAACAGAACAGCCTCAGTCGCTGTCTTGTCTCTGAGGGTGGTAAAAGGAAGATAATAAAAAGGGCAAGAGAATAGAAGAAACAAAAGAAAAGTGAGAAAAATCTGTAACTGCCCGCACAAGAATCGCTGCAGGAAGATCTCCAAAATTGAAGCAGGAAATTCTGAGGCAAAAAAGACCCGGGAAAAGGAAGAGAAGAAAAAAAAAAAAAAAACGGAATTCACAAAAGCGAATCTTTGGGGTTCAAATATTGGAAAGCCCCGAAGTGTGTGGCCGACATGGATGCACAGATAAAAGGGGAGGAACAGACCCACACTCTTTGCAGAGCAGAGAAGGCTTTTGTTTTTTTGGCTATGGATGATGCAATGCAATGCAAGACTCCAAAAGCACACACGCACCATGACACGACACACCAAACAAACTAACACACACACACACACACACACAAATAAAAAAATTAATAAATTAATAAATCAATAACTAAACAAAAGCCCTTTCTTTAGCAACAAATATCGAAGGGTGGTGCTGTCTGTGACTGTTTCCTATTTTCTTTTTCAGAAAAACAAATTCACTGTGCTATTATTTTTAAACTTTATGTTCAAAATGTTTTCTGATTAATTCATAATTAAAGATATTTAAAATAATATAAAACAATTTTAACATGACTCTTGTAAATTAAATTTGTTTTCGCCTTTTTCGTCGGATCTGAAAAAGTAAACCCTTATCTTGAGAAGCCAGCAAAACAACAAAGATATGTTAAAAAGGATGCTGAGTTGTATGACTTGTTTTAAATAAATAGATTCATTTTTAGCTGATAGATTTTCATGAATCTAGTGAAGAAACTGATATTATTATTTTACCACTTCACTGGAATTTAGACTACCCATTTTCTTTAACTATTTTAATATGAAGTATGGGTTTATTTATCTACAAAAATATACATGTCAGATCTTCTTTACTATTTTGAAATATGCTATCTTTAATAAAATTATTTAGAAAATTTTAAAATGTAAATTATTATCAAAAAAATATTTTAATCACGTAAAGTATAATTAATCTATAATATAAATATCAGTAAAATATTAATGACATAAACATCAAGAACCATCTTAACTTTTCTTAATCAAATTTTATGCATTGAGATCAATAAGCTAAAATATAAAAGTAAAAAATAAAACAAAAATAATGTTATTAATTGAAGTATAAATTTATTCTTTGCGTAAAAATATTTGTTATAAGAAATTTATTAAACATGGTATAATTTAAGTACAAATATTTAATTATGTTAAAAAATATTTTTAAATTAAATTTTAAATTGATATTTAAATTTTTATATTTTTAAAAAAATAAAAAAAATAATGTTAATTGTATAATAAATCACTAAAAAGTAAAAATTTATTGTTAATAGGTGTCTTATCATATAGTTTATTAAGGCAGTGTCTGGTATATGTTGAATTTGGAAAACCACAGAAAATAGTTCATAAAAAGTCATAAATGAAAGTGATTGTGTATGAATTAAATTCTTCATAGAAATGATTCGTGAAAAAGTTGAGTTGTGGTTTTATTTTTGGTAGAAGGAAGTAGTGTGTTAATTAAGATGTGATATTTTCCAAAAAATGATAGCATCGTATAAATAACATATAATATTTATCAAATGTAAAAAAAAATAATAATATCGATTCACGTATGATTAAATGTGTTTAAAATTCAGATAGTATCGTACCAAACATTATATTTTTCGTGAAGTTTAATGGTGGGTCCGCGGTTCCATGGTCTTTGAAGCCAACGCAGTCAAGACTCGAGTCTGACCCACACTTTTCATTGTCTTCATGGTGGATATGGTCTTAGACATATTTCTGTTTTTAAATTTTGAGTTATAATAATTTAACCCATCAAAAAATATTAGTTAATAAATTTTCTATAAGGTGAAAAAAATAAAAATTTAATCATGGGTTATATATATATATATATATATATATATATATATATATTATTTAATAATAATAATAAAAAAATAATAATATATTTAGAAATTTAGAAGCCTTGTACCCATTTACCACATTGGAATTACGCAGGACAATTTTTTACGCTACCATGAAATCATTTAAAGGAGTATATTAATTAGCCGTAAAATTTAAATGTTTTAGAATTAATTTTTTGAAGAGTTGGTTGCTTTGTGATTTGGTAACTACATTGTGGTTCTAATGGCGATTATATTAAGAAATTGAAATTGAGGAAGGTAATTTCCGAAGGTGGTTAAAGGGTAAGGGAGAGCATGATTGATTTGTGTATTATTTTGGGAAGATTGATTTAAAAAATGAAGGGAATAATAATTTACAGCGCAGTATAGGTGGGATATATAGTATTAATTGTAGCATAGGATGGTCCAAATGTAGCTGTTTAAGTTCAAAAGTAGTGGAACTGCCAAATGTGGCGGCACTAATTTTTCCCTCTTTTTGAGGCCACATTGCAGCAATAAAGAGAAGAGGGACTCTTGTTATACCCTTCAAGGAATAATGCTACTATCAATTTCTTTTTTCGTTCATAAATTATAATCATCACAGGTAAGTTCATACTCGTTTTTTAATAGTAATTATAATCTTTCATTTTTTTTTTTAAATAACTATTTACAATGACTTTAGAAGTAACACATTTTCATCTTTGCAATAATATATTTTATAATTGTCTGCTTTCAAAATATGTAATAAAGAATAATATAATCTCGCCTAAAAACACTTTGAGTGAATGACATAATAGTTGTGTATAGATTAGTAAAATGTATTTGTTGTTCGATAAGTTGAAATTGTTAGTTATGTTAAGATCGTGTATAAATAAATGTCTTTAAGTTCCACATGCATGTTGATTGAGATGCCTTAAGATCCCTTGAGGTATGCACCTTTTATAAGATCACCAAAATTAGTTTGTCCAAGACATTCTTTATAGCTTCCATCAACATTTGACATTATAATCTCATCGGAAAATTTTATCTTATAAAAGTAAGTTTATATAATATATGAAGGACTTGATGATTTCTAGCCCTACAGGATAATAATTTTTGAAGTTTATTTTTTTTATCTATTTTAAATTATCAATATTATCAAATAACTTTATTTAAGTTGAAACATGTGTTTGGATAATTTATTTCATAATTTTTACAAAATTTATAAATATTAAATTTGAATTTTTTTATTTTAAATAATTTAATTTTTTAAATGATTTGTACGGAAAAAGAAATTCAAATTTATCGAATTTTAATTTTCTTGTTGGAATAAAGTATTTTTATTACTATCAAATATAAAAATTATTATTATTAAATATGTGAATTAATTTCAACTCAAATTACTTGATCCTTATCCACATGAATCAGGTTGATTGAAATGAATCATGATAGACTAAATTGAATCAAATCAGACTGAGACAAACTAAATTAGTAAAATTGAGCCTAGTTAAAGACAAATTATATTAGTTGGTACTTTAGGGTGAGTTGGGTTGGGTCATGTGAGTTGTATTAGGATGAATTAAGTTGGAACGAGACTTTCTATGGAAAAACCAAATCAGATTAAGATCAAAATAATAAGTAAGATTATTCGAATTAAGTCAAGATCAATCAGACTATATTGAACTAGGAATTACTTATTTAGATCAAGATAGGTCGACTTATAATAAAACAGGTGGAATAATAAAAAATATTTCAATAAATATTAAATCATAGAGAAAATATGAAGAAAAGAAACGTAAATTTGAGAAAAGATAAAGAAATTCAAATTCTTATTTTTTTTTAGTTAAAGTTTAAAATTCTCTTATATTAAATAATCAAAATATTTCCATAAATTTCTATAATTTAAATTACTTTTTAAATTCGTCGTTTAAACACATAATTTTATGAACATTTTGAAATATTCTATATAAAAATGAATTAGTTTGATTATTGATTTTTAAATTCAAAACTCAGACCAAATTACTTGATTAAAGAGAAAGTAGATCAAATGGATTCGTAGGTTTTTTTTTCATGTACTTTTTTAATCCATTCAATTATATAGTTAATATTTTATACTATCACTAGTGTAAGGAGATGTAACAATTGTTGTCTAATAACCAATAATATAATCTAAGACGAGGTAACAATTTTATAAACATTGAGAGATATTACATGTTTGATAGAACAACCGATGTAGCATCAACTACATCATTTGCTTTAAAACAACCGATATATCCTTCTTTTAAAAGTTTCAATTTTCTTCCTCATTCATTATGTTGTGTCGCGAAGAGAAAACTCAAGTCTTTTTGGATTATCAACCTTCTCTGCTGTTTCGCGTGACACTAGCGTCTTCTCCACCAGTGTCACATGCCACCAGCACCTTCTCTATAGCTTTGCGTGTCGCCGATGTTTCCTCCACAGTATCATGTCTTCCCAACGCCTCCTCCATAACATCCCATGTCGCCAATGCATCCTTCATAGCTTTGTGTCGCGTCTTGCCATCGACTCCTTTTGTAGAGTTGTGTGTCACTAGCATCTCTTCTATATCGCCAACCTTTTGCAGTGTCACATGTTACAGGCGTTGTGTTGTGTACCATCAAAACCTCTTCTGCCATCACCAATAACTCCTCTATCACCATTGCTACCCTAGCGTCACAATCCACATCACATTTGTTTTTTTATTTTGAAAAAAGAATTAAAAAAAATAGTAGAAAAAATGATTTCACTACTGCAGAATGAGCATTCAACGTCGGGTGTAGAAGGCTTTCAACGTCGGTTCCAATGACGTCGTTGAATCAGGCGTCGTTGAATGTCAAAGGCTTCTACGTCGGTTCATCATACCCGACGTTGAAAGTGACTAAATTCTACGTCGGTTCTTGAACTAACCGACGTTGAACTCGCTCAAGCGACCGGTGTACTCGCTTGAGCGACGAAGCCTTCAAACAAAGGGGACTCTCGGGTGCTGCTTCGCTCAAGCGACCCACGTTTCGCTCAAGCGACCGACATTACAACGTCGGTTAATACAAATCCGACGTAGAAATGAGTAAATTCTACGTCGGTTATTGAACTAACCGACGTTGAAAGTCCTTTCTCGCTCAAGCGACCGGTGTACTCGCTTGAGCGACGAAGCCTTCAAACAAAGGGTGCTCTCGGGTGCTGTTTCGCTCAAGCGACCAACGTTTCGCTCAAGCGACTGACGTTACAACGTCGGTTAATGCAATAACCGACGTAGAATATCCCTTTTTTTTTTAAATTTTGGTCTGTTTTTGTGCTACCATACACGACCTGCTATATAAATCTCAGTCCAGCCAGATTTACACAATATATACACAATGTACAAAAATCTCAGCCAGGTCTTTTCACATAATCACTATATATTTACACAATACACAAAAATCTCAGTCCAGCCACATTATGTACATAATACACAAAAATTATCAATCAATCCTATTATTCCTAACTACTTGTACAAACTTTTCTGCCCATTTGTTTCGAACCATGTCTATAGTATCCATATGCAAAGGTTCTATATCTTTAAATGCCTGTAAGAAGTTCACAATAATAGAATGGTAAACCCTAAGCAATAAAAATAAAGGAATTGAATATAATAGCAAATGTCAACTTACCTCGTCCCAACTATCCTGAATGCAACCAAAAATGATGAGCCACATCCAATACATTACATAGTAGCCGCACTCGTAGCCTCCATTTTGTTTGTTACACTAAAAATGAGTAAATATGTTAAAAATAACTATTAAATTTGAACATAAATTAATAGATAGTATAATATATATAAAGGCTACTTACTTTGATAAAATTCCAATTTGGAGTCTGTGCTTTTACTTGTGTGTTTTCCATCTAATGTACTACAAACCTTTAAAGCACTATATATTGAAAATAAGGGGATTAGAAATAGAATAATCAAGATGTTTAGACATAATATAATAAATACTTACTCGTTTACAATATTTTTTAGCTCCATGTCCGGTTTTCTTCCCAATCGACGAGAACCAACACACAAGATTCTGCTTTGGACAAATAACTAATAGTCGCCAAGTGATTTATGTATATACACATGATTAGAATCTATTAAAAAAACTTGTGTAAAACCAGAAGAGGCTGGGATAACTTACGAATGATGGTATGCTCCAAGGTAAATATCTCTTTTAGAAACAGTCATCCAATTCTGGATGTAACTGAGAATTTGATCACGCTTATTCCCAGACTTTTGTATGCATTGAGGCTCGAAGAATCCATACACATGACCAATGCCCTGCTCCACTATCATTTCGTGCATCATCCTAAAATATGCCAATTTAAGTGAACTTATAGCTTATATATTTACTAAAATGAAAAGAGTCATGAAAGATATGAACTTACAATGTCCAAAATTGTTAAACAACTATATTTAGACATTGATTGCCCATCCCAATCTCCAGGGCATCAGTGTGGGAAATGTATAGGGGGATATTGCTAGAAGCCATCCCAAATAATGTACAATCCCATGGAACTTGGAATGACTGCATATATAATTGTGGGGAAAGAGACAAGAGATCAAAAATTGGATTTGGAGAAGTCTCCACAACTGATGTCTTCTCCTTAGATGCAGAAGGAGTGGCAATAGCTTTACCCAAGTCTTTTGGCTGCCGAACATCCTACATATTTTATAAAATATAATCATAAACAATAAATCAATTTTTTTATGTGTTAGATGTAGTATAACCATACATATACATACCTTTGCCATGATTGACTTAACTAAATGTCGGGGCCAAGTAATGAAGGTCTGAAGGGCTTGGCCCACTGTCTGCACCTCATCAGTGGGGATAGGGACACTAGCCGCAGCGTCAACCACCTTTTCAACCACTACTTTGACCAAGTTAGGATCCAAAGGCACATTGTGGATGATTGAAGCCCCTTCATGAACTGATCCATGGGCCACTAGTCTTAGACCTTCATCTACCTCAACCCACAAGCCATATCGATCATCCTTTGTGGATTCAGGATGAATAGATGTCACCTCAGGTATGACCTCGATAGTGGCTTCAGCACAACTGCCCTTTGTGCTAACTCTTGGACCTACAAATACGGTAAATTCCAATAAGGACTAAGATTTTAGAAACACAAGTCAAGTACCAATTTGTGGTTGAAAATGCACCTGATGGAGGATGAGCATCGGCAAATGAAGTACCCATGGAGGTCATACGCAGAGCCGCTCCTGCACACGTGCGGTGATGGTCTCCTCAAGTCGTGCGGCCGATGGCAGGAGTCAACTCTTCCTCCAATTTTGCCCCGATGGTCGGTGTCAATTTCTCCGTGAGAGCCATCTCCAGGGCAGCAATATCTTCTTGGCTCGGGGATGTGGAGGTGCGGATATCCTGTGATGGTGGTCCAAAATACCGTCGGACACCCACACCTTGGCCAACAGCTCGAACACGACCTGGATGTTACGGTCGTCCAATAGCGAGTGGTCAAGATATCCCGACGACCAGAAGGGATGAAAGTTCCCTGTGTACACTTGCTCCTCCAAGGCATCCTACATTATAAAAGTTAATTTTATTAATGAACATGTTACATATAACTAATTCAAAGTAAATTAACTTCTTTTACTTACAATCCGAGTAGCAATTTGTCGGGCTTCCAGCGACGTCATGTCACCAGAAGGCTTTGTACGCGCCCTCTTCCACTTCTGGTGACGTTTTGGAGGAGATGGTGGAGGAATCTGCTCTTCTCTTAAACCAGAAGAGGCTAACTCCGACTGTCGAAGTCTAATCTTCTCCTCCATCATCTTCTTAGTCAATAAGTCGTACCCCCACGAGACGAGAAGGTGGGGGCGACATTCTTCCTCCGAATGTCTTTTGCTTTTTGTCTTCTTTCCTGCAACATAATTGAACACAATATTAGATACACAACTCATTATGAAATATTCAAGTCAATTAAGCCATAAGCTATTACCTCCCACTCCGAACCAGTCCTACTATGTACAAACTTCTTCCAAGTGTCCTCATCTATGCCATATCTTTGGCAAGGGGTTAATCCCTTGCTAACTTTGTCCTCAGCATACACCCATTTAGTGGTCAATGTGGACTTGAACTGTCTCTACATTTTTGCTATGGCTGTCATTATCTTCCTCCTCACATCCTCAGAATTAACTAAATCAAAGTGTTCCTACAGTAGCAAACAAGTTTTAGTTAATCAATTGATAATAATGTATAAACAATATAAACAACTAAATACACATACTTACAAGAAGATCTTGCCATAACAAGTTCTTCACATTTTCCTCCACATGATCCCAAGTAGGATGGAGAATAGATATTTACACAACATAAACAACATAAATATCAACAATATATTTGAAATGAAATTAACTTTGAAATAGAATAAATACCTTCTCTCTAGCTAGTGTACCCAAGTAGCTTCTAAATTGGGTACTGAAGGGACCTGACACCTTGCCGGTCCTAGGATCAACAGAAACGAGATAACTTCCGGCCGGATATGTGTCTAACGGTCAAGCCTTTCAACCGTGTAGATTGTCGACTCCTCTTACTTGGAAAATGTCTTTCCGGATGCTCGAGGAGATGGTGGAGGAGATGGTGGAGGAGATGCCATTTACCTGTAATGAAAAAAACATAGAATTATATCAATACACATGCAAAGTCTCCTCAATTACATGCTAAAAAAATAAATAAATAGAAACATAACTTAGATTGTATTAATATTTTCCCATATGCCTTCATCATGGTCATTGCGAGTAGCATGAACAAAGTCCTCTTCCAATTGGGATATAACAATAGGCAACCGTGGTGAACTTTGAATGTTAATAAAATCATCTAATTCTTCTCCATTCTCAATTGTGACATCAATCATTTTTCCTTTGAGGACAACTGACCACCTATCATTTGATGGATCAATGACATAAAACACTTGTTTTGCCTGGTATGCCATTATGAAGGGTTCTTCCTTATGACCAATCTTGTTTATATCAATCAAAGTAAATCTCATTTGGTCTCTTTGGACACCAGTATTGCTATCAACCCATTTACATTTAAATAAAGGCACTTTGAATTTAGTATAGTCGACCTCCCAAATCTCCTCAATCACTCCAAAGTAACTAATTGATGCCATGATGGAGTTTTTGTCCTTTGCACTAGAAAAGTGCATAGATGTTGCCTCAATAGATACTCCACTATTCTGGACCGTACTTTTGTCATCTTGTGCCTTCGTATAGAATGAGTATTTGTTAATGTCATACCCTTGCAAAGTTATAACATTATATCTAGGCCCATGTGCTAGCCATTTCAGTGTATCAGAGGCATTGTCACTTGAAAATATTTTGCTTTGAAACCAATTGATAAAGTTGTTGTTATGCTCTTTCATCAACCACCTTTCACCCATTTTGGGGTTTAGGTCCTTTAACATTGCTTTATGCGCATCTATGTAAGGAATAACCTCTTCGTATTGTTCAAAATATACAAGTGGGCGGTGCTCAACTCAACATGATCTTTTGTTTGAATTCTAATACCACGAGTTCCC